GGAAATGTAACGCCCCTTACCATAATCGTGAGCTTCATCTTTCAAAATAAATGTAAGGACAGTAAATAATGTCATTAGTTTTACCATCAGTTCAAGCCCGAAAGGGGAACAGACAGCTGACTCTACTGTGATGTGACGCTGTCGCTCTCTCTCTCACACACACACACACGATGCGCAAAACTCCGCATTTGAACAGTCAATAGCAAATACTTAAACTAGTAACAAAACATACTTACAGTCGCTGATTCAGAAGCGTCAGATTGTCATAGCAAAGACAGAATTACCTCCTCTCCTAGGTTCACGAAACGGTCGTCCATAAAATGCATTGCTGTTCTGTTGTAAGTAATCTTAAAGATTCCTAAATGCATCTACTTTCGGAAGGCCAAATAAAGTGCTTTTGCTTTCGCCTAGAAACACACAGCGTCTCCCTGACATGGCTGCTTCAACACTAACTGCGGTTACTGAAACCACGCCTTCTTTCTTTGCATGCACATTTGGGCGCATTATGCAAATATTCCCACATAGTGACCTAGATATGTGGGGGCGTGTTAGAACGAGCCGTTTTAGGGGGGTGTGGCAGAGTCTTAACTTTGATAAAGAATATCTCTTTGGTTTTGAGACTTTAGTCTTTGCAACTTCAGGGATCTTATCTATTCACGAACAGCTTGTAACACTCCAAAGAGAAAGGAAAACTTGAAATCGCATCATATGACCCCTTTAAAATCAAATTATGTCAATGTAATTTTATCATAAAATGAAATGACAATCCTACACAAAATGTAATTTGTTGTGCTGAATGTCTTCATACTTCCTTCACAATTAACTTTCACTTTTCAGACATGACATCTTGCAATTTTGGGAAATGACAGATTGGCCAAAATAAAACAAACAAACAAAATAGACAGTTGCCAAATGCATGTTAGGAGCAAAAAACGTCTGATTCCAATTGATTGCTAGTCGACCGGAGCATATCTAGTAATTGAAATCTGGAAAACATTAGAAAGTGAGTTACCTGAACAAAATCTCTGCTCAAAGATAGTTTCCAATCCCGTTGAAATACTTCTGATTTAAGTGCGCCTCACAGATGGGTTTGTCAAATGCCTTGTCAGACAGATTTGAAAGAACATTCTCCCTGAAAGAGTTAAAGGCACAATATGTAATTTTCGCTGCTAGAGGGCATGTATTCAAAATAAACAGAGACAAAGGCTGGGTGACTGGGTGTGGAATCATGGTCGTCGTCACCGGTCTATTAAAACGCACAACATATTAAAGGGGTCATATATGATGCTATTTTAAAGATCATTATTTTGTGTATTTGGTGTAACAGAATATGTTGACATGCTTTAATGTTCAAAAAACACATTATTTTTCAAATACTGTACATTGTAGGTCCTCTATGCCCCGCCTCTCTCAAACACGTCGTTTTCAACAAAGCCCCCTCCTTTGACAAGCGCAGTCTGCTCTGATTGGCCAGCTGACCCAGTGCATTGTGATTGGCCGAACACGTAACACTTCAAAGAAAAAGGAAAACTTGAAATCGCATCATATGACCCCTTTAATGCGTATTTGGTGTTTCCATGTTTTCTACAAAACCGGAAATCTAGGGGGTTATGACGTGATTGGCAGGCGACACAATGACACTATAGACACGCTCCGTGTCACTAGTTAAAATTGCTTATTTCTTATTTTAATAAAAAAATATTACATATTGTGCCTTTAAATATGCCGTTTCACTGGTCACAGATAAGTTGACAGCACTGTAAACTGACACTTTCGTATAAATTGCAACTCTGCCGAGAACAGCGTAAAACTATAAAACCAGTGTCGCATTGTGCCCAATATCAGCATTGACCTTAAAGGGGACCTTAAATATGATGCAATTTAAATTTTTCCTTTCTTTTTGGAGTGTTACAAGCTCTTGGTGCATAAAGAAGATCTGTAAATTCGGCCAATCACAACGCACTGGATAGCTGGCCAATCAGAGCACACCTCGCTTTTCAGACCAATGAACTTTGTAAAAATCGACGCGTTTCAGAAAGGCGGGGAATAGAGGAGAGTATGTGGAAAGTATGTGTATGTGTACGGTATGTGGAAAATAATGTGTTTTTTGAACCTTAAACCAGATAAACACATCTCATTACACCAAATACACAAAAATAATGTTATTTTTAGCAGCATCATATGACCCCTTTAACAATTTCCATGACGTAACATTATACGAGTGGTGCCGGTCAAACCAAAATAAGAGACTAGAACACCACAATATCTAAAAAAAAAAAAAAAAACTCTTGTCTTTTTGTCCTCAAAACTCAACATCCTGCGTGGGCTCTCTTTAGTGTAGAACCGCAGATGGGCGTGTTTCGGAAGATCGTCTACTGAGGTGAAGCGGAAAAAACCTGACATCCCAAATCGGAAAACCACGTCTATCGGCTGCTGGGACTGATGTTTACTGGGCTTGTGTTTACCGTCGTCATCATTTTTAATGGGCGTAAGTGTGAGTCTGACCTCTTTTCCTCTGTACTGGGCTTTGATGCAGTAGAATGGGACCTTGGGATGGGATGTTGAGTTCGCTTGTTTGGGAGAAAAGGGTCTTTAGTAACTAATACATTTATATTTTCTATAAATTAATGAGGGGAATTTTTTTTTTCTTATAACTTGAGTAACAGGATTGAAAGTTGAGCTCAAGTCACCTCTACAGCTTGTGTAAATATTTAGGAACATTTAATGATTTACTTGTCTTCCCGCCCACTTGTTACAACTTTATTTTATTTTTTATAATACGTGGAATCCTTTAGTAACCGTATTTGTGCCTCTAATGGTTAAAATATAAAAACACAACAAAGTAAACCGTAAGTAATAAGTGGACAATAATAGCATTCATACTCGTATACGAATATGTGTAAACTAACGAAAATCATCTGACAGGCGTTCTGTGCTAGTTTTCAGAAAATCTTTCCCTCATGCTGAACGATGCTGTTATGAAAGTCTGCTGCAAGTGCTGAGCAAGTACATGCAAAGTTCATGAATTGTCGCTTAGCTACGTGTGCTCCAAAATAGAAAGTAGGATAATGTTCAGTAAATCGATGATTAAATTAACTGAAGCGAATCGTGCACCAACCCACCGTCTGAATAGATATCCTCAAGGCCAAGAGGTAAAAAACATCTCTACAATATAAATGTAACAGTGAATTTTTAAGAATTAAACTGGAATAAACTCTAAATAGCATCTATTCACATTTTAAAGATAGGCCATTCCCATAGTATTCTCATTTATTAGTAGCAAAAAAACAAAACAACACTACTAAACTAAATAAATTGTATCTATCTTCAAAGGTCCTGAAATATGCAGCAATGTGATAAAAATAAAATTTTAATTATGATTTTATTAAATTTTAATTTTAATAAAAATGTGTAAAAATACACATGAACATTTTTAAGACAAATACATGAGGTGAGATAAATCACTAAGAGCTGTTTATTCTCTGGATGACACTGACAAACAAGTGACAAATTCCATTTATAGTGACATTTGGTCCAAAACGTCGGTTGCTCAATTTGAGCAACATTAGTCAACATTTTGACTAATCATGTGAAGAGCTTACAAAATGCATACTGTTAGATTTTTTGTTTTAGAAGCACAGTTTATAAACACGAACAGATTCTGTACACATTTCAGCAATATTATTCAACAAATGCTGACTGGTTCACTGTAGTGCATTCATCATAGTCTGTGCTTGTTTGAGTTCTGGAAAACAAAAACAAGGAAATTTACAATATACATAATACAATATACACTCAAAAATATTTAGCTCTAAATTAAAGATTTATGCATTTGAATTGCACACAACATTTCCATCCAAACATGCAGCTTTTCACGTCACAAGATGTTAATTGATGGAGTCGTGTTGATTGATTATGGATTGTGATTTTTTTTTTTTTTTTTAAAGGGGTGGTTCACTGTTTTTTTTTCTAGGCTTGATTGTGTTTATGGGGTGCAGTCTAACATGTGTTTATTTGTACATTTGTTTAAAAAAAAAAAAAAGCATTATTTTTTCACATAATTTACCTTTATTCCAAACCGCTCTGTCCCTTCTCTGAGAAACGCACTGCTCATTTCCTGCTTTTATGAAGCCCTGCCCTCAGAAATAGGCGATGGGCTCTGATTGGTTAGCTAGCCCAGTGTGTTGTGATTGGCTAAACCGCCTCTAGTGCGCGTCCAAGCGTCCCGCCCCTCACCTCAGTGGCATGTGCTGTTGTATTGTAAACAACGGCGTCGTTAATATTGCTTATCAGTTTGAGCCCGATTGAGAAGCAGAGGATATTATTGAAGAGGATCGTGCTTGGAGCTGAGCTGAATGAGAGCGAGAAAGAGAGAGAGATGGAGAGCATGAGCAGAGCAGGGGGACGCGAGGAACAGGATTGAGAACCGCTGCTTTAGAACACTGATTTTGAATCCTGTGAATCCATTAGAATCGTTAGAAGACAGAATCGCGATTCATATATACATAGATTTTTTACGTGCACCTCGAGTTTTCTCTTCCTCTTCTCTAAAGCAGTGCTGCATGGCCTCGCCCCCTTTGCTGCCTTTTCCCAGGGGCAGGGTATATCTGGGTTTGTTACGTCATGAACTTTAAAAGACGATATCTCCGTTTGCATTGAACTTTCAGCTTTGTAACTTTGCAGATATTGTTTATGCTCAAACTGCAACATTACACACTAACTAACGTTTAAAAAGTGAAATCGCAATCAACCACCCCTTTAAATCAGCTGTTTAGACTCATTCTGACGGCACCCATTCACTGCAGAGGATCCATTGGTGAGCAAGTGATGTGATGTTAAATTTCTCCAAATCTGTTCTGATGGAGAAACAAACTCATCTACATCTTGGATGGCCTGAGAGTGAGTCAATTTTCAGCAAAATTTAATTTTTTAGTGAACTATTGCTTTAAAACACATTCAGTTTATTAGTACTGTTACATAACTCTTGCCAGTTTCATACCAGTTTCATGTGTGCACTGCATTTATTACATTAAACCGAATGGATGGAAATGTTATTCAAATACATAAATCTTACTGATCCCACAAGGAAAGTCACCTGTTAGCAGTACTCTGAACTTGTCAGCAGTGATGGAGACAACAGTGGTCTTTGTGGAGTCTGTCTCGGGGTCCTGAGCCTGAAGTCTGAGCTGGACTGTGGGTTCATTCACATGCTTCAGTTCACTGGAGCTCAAGGTGTAATCGACCCGCCAGTTCACCGCTTCCAGACGACCCACTAACATGGATCACAATAGTACATTTCAATGAATGATCTGGACTGTATTTCTATTTTTTGGTAATACTCACAGCGCAGACTGCTCTCCCTCAGCTTTTCCTGTAGAGCGCTGTGTTTATCCTCATATGATTTACACAATCCGGTGGTGTGCTCTAAAAACAGACATGTAAATGTGTTAAGTTTTAAGTATAACTTTGAAAAAGTTGATAAAACACATACAGTGGTTATAGAAAAGAATCACCCCTCTTTAAAATAATCACATTTTGTTGCTTTGCAGCCTGAAATGAAGACAGACACAATTTTTGTTTTAACCAGCTGTATGTACTCAGTGCAACTTATAACATCCAAGTGAAAGATATAACACCAACATGTCAGAAAAAAAAAATCTGAATCACTGAGTTGGAAAAAGGATCACCCCTTGTGTCAGTATTTTGTTGAACCACTTTTTGCTTTAATTACAGCCTTCAGTCTGTTGGGATATGTCTCTGTCTCCACTAACTTTGCACATCTAGACTTTGCAATATTTGCTCACTCTTCTTTGCAGAACTGCTCAAGTTCAGTTCAATTTGATGGTGAGTGTTTGTGGACTGCAGTCTTCAAGTCATTCCACAGATCTTCGATGGGGTTTAAGTCTGGGCTCTGACGAGGCCATGCAAGGACATTCAGCTTTTCTATACCCACTGTATCCTTACCTTTAGGGAGGCCAAGCTGCTGAAGTTCACTGGAGAGAGATTCACTGTCCACGTCATGCTTAGCAGCACTGGACAGAATGAAACTCAGCACTGCTATACTGGCTTTAATGTCTCCACTTTCTGGAAAAAAAAAGAAAAATAGACAAATTAGCAAGAGATATGGCATAAAATACCAACAGATAAGACATTTATGTAAGAATGCATAAAATATCGGTACCATATCAGTTATCAGCCAAAATGAAATGTTATAATAATTATCAGTAAATAATTCATTCATCTAATTTATTTATAAAGCACTTTTAAAAGGTATATAATGGATATTTAATTGTGCTGCTCATTTCCTCGATTTTTACATTTAAATTATCTTTGACATTATCTAATGTTCACTTAACACTAATAATTTAAAGCTGCAGTCCGTAACTTTTGGCGCTCTAGCGTTTAATAAACAGAACTGCGTGCGTCTTGTGGAAGAACATTGTAGCCGAGCTACTTCTCAGCGGTACCTACTTGAACCAGTCTAAATAGTCCGAATATAAACACTTATTATAGGTGTACCGTAGTGATTCAGGACAAGCCAAAAACACGGTTTGGAAAATGGATTCATGGTGTACTCGCTTATTATATACATTTTGAACACAAAAAAAGTTACGGACTGCAGCTTTAATAACACTGTTAAATGTGTCTTTAGCAAATCTCAAATATCCATTTTTCACAGTGTACATTTTAATGTTGTGATGCTTAAATTCACTTGTAGGCTGTTTGATTGATTGATTGATTGATTGACATCAACATCAAATCATTCATGGAAAACTCAACAATAATAAGATTTAAAATAGTCTTAACAGTATTATTTTCACCAACAAACAAAATTAAAATAAACAAGTAAGTAAATAAATTATATTTTAATTTTCCTTTAAAAATGTTCATTAATGTACTTGGAGTATAAATGTTTCCAAGTATCATTTAAAACATGACACTCTTAATACAATTCTTTAGCATTAAAAACTACTAATTTTAGTTTTTATATTAGATTTAATGTTCCATTATTTAATATATATTGTAGAATTTTGATATCAGCCATAACACAAAAAGATAAGCTAATCAGTACTGGCCAGAATCATATTGGGAATACCTAACTTGATTTATAGTCATTCATTTTATTTCACACTTTACAATTACTGAGATCACATGACCCAAAAACTGTGATTCACTCACCAAACTTTGCATCTGAGGTTAGTTTTGAAACTTTGTCATACTGAAAACAGATAAACAGATAATTATATATCAGTTAGACGAGGACTATCTATTCAGAAAACATAACACGACTGCTGTCTCCAGTGCTGTCTTACATCGATGTCTTCATCGAGCAGATCTTTAATGACTTGCACGCACAGAAGTTTCATCTTGACGCTGGACTGTGAAGAACAGCAGTGAAGAAAATGACTTGCTGTGCAGAGAGCATCAAGACAAACAACACAGCACCTATTAAAGAAGTTAGACTTGCCATTCTAGCTAAGGTGCTCATTTCTGCAAGGACCCAGTCAGGACAGTCGAGATCTCCACAAAAGCGGAATCTCTGAAATAAAAGAAAGCAGCAAAATGGGTTCATTAAGAATTTACCTTTAGGGAGGCCAAGCTGCTGAAGTTCACTGGAGAGAGATTCACTGTCCACGTCATGCTTAGCAGCACTGGACAGAATGAAACTCAGCACTGCTATACTGGCTTTAATGTCTCCACTTTCTGGAAAAAAAAAGAAAAATAGACAAATTAGCAAGAGATATGGCATAAAATACCAACAGATAAGACATTTATGTAAGAATGCATAAAATATCGGTACCATATCAGTTATCAGCCAAAATGAAATGTTATAATAATTATCAGTAAATAATTCATTCATCTAATTTATTTATAAAGCACTTTTAAAAGGTATATAATGGATATTTAATTGTGCTGCTCATTTCCTCGATTTTTACATTTAAATTATCTTTGACATTATCTAATGTTCACTTAACACTAATAATTTAAAGCTGCAGTCCGTAACTTTTGGCGCTCTAGCGTTTAATAAACAGAACTGCGTGCGTCTTGTGGAAGAACATTGTAGCCGAGCTACTTCTCAGCGGTACCTACTCGAACCAGTCTAAATAGTCCGAATATAAACACTTATTATAGGTGTACCGTAGTGATTCAGGACAAGCCAAAAACACGGTTTGGAAAATGGATTCATGGTGTACTCGCTTATTATATACATTTTGAACACAAAAAAAGTTACGGACTGCAGCTTTAATAACACTGTTAAATGTGTCTTTAGCAAATCTCAAATATCCATTTTTCACAGTGTACATTTTAATGTTGTGATGCTTAAATTCACTTGTAGGCTGTTTGATTGATTGATTGATTGATTGACATCAACATCAAATCATTCATGGAAAACTCAACAATAATAAGATTTAAAATAGTCTTAACAGTATTATTTTCACCAACAAACAAAATTAAAATAAACAAGTAAGTAAATAAATTATATTTTAATTTTCCTTTAAAAATGTTCATTAATGTACTTGGAGTATAAATGTTTCCAAGTATCATTTAAAACATGACACTCTTAATACAATTCTTTAGCATTAAAAACTACTAATTTTAGTTTTTATATTAGATTTAATATTTAATGTTCCATTATTTAATATATATTGTAGAATTTTGATATCAGCCATACCACAAAAAGATAAGCTAATCAGTACTGGCCAGAATCATATTGGGAATACCTAACTTGATTTATAGTCATTCATTTTATTTCACACTTTACAATTACTGAGATCACATGACCCAAAAACTGTGATTCACTCACCAAACTTTGCATCTGAGGTTAGTTTTGAAACTTTGTCATACTGAAAACAGATAAACAGATAATTATATATCAGTTAGACGAGGACTATCTATTCAGAAAACATAACACGACTGCTGTCTCCAGTGCTGTCTTACATCGATGTCTTCATCGAGCAGATCTTTAATGACTTGCACGCACAGAAGTTTCATCTTGACGCTGGACTGTGAAGAACAGCAGTGAAGAAAATGACTTGCTGTGCAGAGAGCATCAAGACAAACAACACAGCACCTATTAAAGAAGTTAGACTTGCCATTCTAGCTAAGGTGCTCATTTCTGCAAGGACCCAGTCAGGACAGTCGAGATCTCCACAAAAGCGGAATCTCTGAAATAAAAGAAAGCAGCAAAATGGGTTCATTAAGAATGTTTACGTCTATTGCATTTGCCTCTGCGTACTTGAAACGTTAGCGTTCGCTATCCACTAATCACAGCGGACACGTATTATAATTGTAATGGTTTCAAATTTGAAACCAGAATAAACCGAGCTCTTGTTCATTAAGAAATAAGATAAATAATACCATTTTGACATGTATTCAGTCAGTCAGCTGCTCTTCTACTTCTTCTTGTGGTAAAGTAACAGTGGCTAACAAGCTTTACGGTGCATCCTACTGGACTGGCTGTATCAGTGTTGCAGTTTATCGTGTTATTATATTATACATTATAATTACATTGTATGTTAACAAAATGTATGTAATGATGATATTTATAAGCAAATAAACAACCCAGAAGCAGCAGATGCCAAAGATGCGCTACGTTTGTATAGGTCATCGCAAAAATCGGACAGGTAAAGTGACCTTTTGAAGCGTTTCTTGAGTAGCAAATCAGCATAGCAGAATAAACTACATTTTAAAATATTCAAATAGAAAACAGTTCATTCAAATTGTAAAAATATTTCACATTACTACTGTATTTTTGATCAAATGCAGCCTTCAAAAGGCTAAAAGAGACTTAATTAAAAATGTTCAAGTAAAATGATAAAATAAACGTTTAAAAATCACAATGATCTCAAACTTTTGACAAGCACTGTAACAGTTATCGTACAGGTAAATTAACTGAAAGCCTCGCACATTCAAGTTACAAATGGTCGCGTCAAAAATAAGGTGGAAACGTCGCCTTATACATTATATCCTTATACAAAAATACATCAACTATTTAAAAGCATTGTTTAAATGGCTGGGAAGACAGAAGAGGGCGCGTGAGACTAATTGAGATCCGTTCACTCGAGAGAGGAAGCGTTGCTAACCTGACAGAGAAGACATGAGAGCTCGTGTTTTACGCTGCGCAGATAAACTGTAGGACCATGATCCTAACACGGCAATATTTCTCTGTCCACATCAAAAGGAATTTGGCGTATCCTTGGTTTATTTATGGAGCGTGCTTCCATTGCGTCTTTTGCTCTTATAATCCGAGATTAACTCTAAAACAAGGTAAGTTAACGTAAAATAAACTACAACCTTCCTCTGTAATCAGACTAATTATATACACTATAATTCATTTGCACACTTTTTGTTTCGGAAATGCACTTATACAGTAGACTTTAATCGTTTTAAATAATCAAATGAGGCAATAGGGGGAGAGCGGGGGCACAAAGTAACACTTTTTGACTTTCTCAAATTGTGTAAATCCACATGGGGTTCAGAGTATAATTTTTGTATCCACAGTAATTTCACACTTGTCTAGTACAAATATGTCGCTTTGTTTCATAATTACAGTGTATACGTTTTTCTTTATTTACCCTCAAAAATTGGAAGTGAAATGTGACAACATGCCCCGTAGGTGGGGTACATTGTAACATCTGAGGGGCACGTTGTAACATGACCATATAACAGCTTAAAATGTTATCTGATAGCATTAAAAAAATATACAAGGCAAACTAAAATATTTTGTCAATAAAATAAAATATTTATTTAAAATGAAATAATGCCGTTTTTTAAGAATTAAAAATAATCCGATTTTGGAGTTTGACAATGAACACATTGCAACCATGCTTGAGAAGGCACACATAAATGAGCCAAAATGCTTTACATGTATTGAAATAATAATTTCTTAACATTAAACATTGACTGTTAGTCTTTATTCACCGTTTCTCGTCGTTTATCATTGAAATGTATTAAAGTAAATAGTGTGAATTACATCGCTAATGTCATAGAATAGCACGGCAGGGCACATTGTAACGCAGTGTTACAACATACCCTATCTGCGCAACTGGAATTTGTTACAATTTACCCCGCGTTACTTTGTGCCCCGCGCTCCCCTAACTAAACATTCTATCTTTCTAGACAACATAACTTTATCCAGTTTTGTTTTTCCCCCAGAAAATGCTCCACTTTTATACAACAGAAATTACAGTCATACAGTCTTATTCCATCAGGAAGGATCAATGAGTCTGTTTGTTGGAGGAATAAATAATGTTCTACATTTTGATGTAGGTAGTCGTCAGATTGTGGAGGTAATTATTAAACTGGAACTGGTTATTAATATGTAAATGTTATGTGACATTTTACAATGCAATTATAATTACTATAGGATTTTGCCATTTTCGTTGAAATAATTTACTCAAATAATTTAAAAATAATTTATTTATATAAAATAATTTTATTTCAAATAAATAAATAAAGGTAGGGTGTGAACCACTCATAAATTGGAGAAGTAACTCAGCATTGACTCAAATGATATTCTAACCCTGCACTTTCTGACCAATTCTGTTAAGGCTTAAATTAAGAGCTCTGACTTTTAGCACTGGTTGTAATTAGTAAGTCTAGCCTATGTTCAATTATAGATTTCAGTAACTGTAGGCTGTGACGCACACAGACTGTTGTGTCCATATTGAACGTGTCTGTGAATGAAAAGGTCTATTTCAGGTGTCGATGAAAGATTTATTTCCACAGACAAGTCCAATCTGTTCCTATAGTTGCAATAAATAATTAAAATGTTAATTGTGTGATTGATAAGTGATAAAAAATTATCTCCATGGTTGCTTTATACACATTTAGGTAAATAATTGTGTACACATAGTCTTATATTTTGAATTAAAAATAACTTCTACATAAATATTGCAAAGTGTTGAGATTTTGTGACCAAGATAATAATACAATATTTTAATTTTTATATATTTTATTTATTTTTTAGAACTTTACCCTGAATCCAAACTTAAGGTGTGGGGAGGTGAGTTTTATAATTCTTTTGAAGTAGAGAAAAAAAGAAAGAAAGAACAAATTGAGTTTTGTAGTTTGACAGTCTTACTGATATTCCTCCATCTATACAGAGCCCTTGTGAAAATGTAGTCACAATAATTGAGAGATTTCAAGACTACACATTTGTATGTGGAACGAATGGAGATCAGCCAAAGTGTTGGAAACTGGTAAGAAATAAAAATACATCTTTGGCATAGTCTGCTACATATTTAGAAATGCAGAGCTTCTTCTAAACGTTGCCTTGCGGTTTACTTTTTGTAGTAAGAGCATCCTGAGAAAAAAAGTGTAGCTCTCTGTTTGAATTTTGAGTTTTAACTTGCATCATGTATCATTTTGAATGACACTTTGTTATTTTGTGCCTGCTCGCAACGTGCCTCATTCACCAATAATTTCATAAATCACCACCAGATTCACAACAGAAGCATGCGACATTTGATACTCACACTGTAAGATAAAACTGAAAAGGTACTGGTAATTTTCTGCAATGACATTATTTGTTAAAGCGATAGTTCACCAAAAAATGAAAATTACCCCATGATTTACTCACCCTCAAGCCATCAAGACTTTCTTCTTTCAGACGAATGCAATCGGAGTTATATTAAAAAATGTCTAGGCTAATCCATGCTTTATAATGGGAGTGGATGGTAGCCCAAAGTCCAAAAAATTGCACCCATTCATTATAAAATAAGGGGGGTGTTAATAAAGGCCTTCTGAAGTGAAGCAATGCGTTTGTGTAAGAAAAATATCCATATTTACAACTTTATAAATCTTAATCTCTAGCTTCCGCTAACTGTCGTACTCGTGTTCACGAGAGAGTGGCCTCACCCTCAAGCCATCCTAGGTGTATATGACTTTCTTCTTTCAGACGAATGCAATCGGAGTTATATTAAAAAATGTCTAGGCTAATCCATGCTTTATAATGGGAATGGATGGTAGCCCAAAGTCCACAAAATTGCACCCATTGATTATAAAATAAGGGGGGTGTTAATAAAGGCCTTCTGAAGCGAAGCAATGCGTTTGTGTAGAGTGGCGTCCAGCGGATGACGTAGCACGTAGGCAAACACAGTGATGAACGCGGACGCGCAGAGGAGAGAGCAAAACAAAACATTTTAAAGATACAAGGATTTTTAAAGAAAAATGTCGGAGGATTTCGATATAAGCCAAGAGGACGTAAACAAATCTTGTTTCTCGCGAGACTAGCATATTCTCACCAGAGCTTACGCTAAAGCGACCATCCAGTTACCAGTTAGCGGAAGCTACCATCCACTCCCATTATAAAGCATGGACTAGCCTGGAAATTATTTAATATAACTCTGATTGTATTCGTCTGAAAGAAGAATGTCATATACACCTAGGGTGACTTGAGGGTGAGTAAATCATGGGGTAATTTTAATTTTTGGAAATCATGGGGTAATTTTCATTTTTGGGTGAACTATCCTTTTAAGTTTACAAACATTTCCTTTACCTAAAACACCAAAAAAAAGTGATTTTCAAACTACAGGTAAAACCTGAGAAAAATCAAAACAAAATTCTTAAAAATGAGTAATTTCTCAAAACAAAACACAGAAAACAGTTTTAATACATGCTTAGACTATGTGTAATCATGTTTAGGACCTCGCATTTGTCGACTTTACAAGTTGCATTTTTGTAGATGTGTAGTCTCAGATTGTAAATTTTAGTGTAAGTTTAGAATAAAATTTAGTGAAAGCTGTGATGAGTAATAATTGATGTGTGACGGTTTACATTTGTGCACACAAATATGTGAATGAGAACCAGTGTCTTACTAGTTGATGCTGGATGGCAAGCTGATTTTTATATAATTATTCTCAGGATTGAATTTTGTTAATTAACAGTTTGATTTTCAGTTAGATCAAAACTCTTGATATGAGGAATAGACTTTTTGCTAGTAAAAAAGTAATTTTTACTATGGCATTTCCAACAGTAAAAATGTGATTTTTTTTTATATAAACAATTACATAATTACTCACAGATATACAAATTCTGGATAGCAAAAATTTAATTCCAACTAGTCAAAAATGTAATTCTTGATGTCTGTAATTACATTTTCAATTGTGGATATCTATAATTCATATCTTGCAAGTGTATAAATGTTAAAATGGCTTGCCATATCTCTGTTCTCTATAATAATGTCTCTTTCCCAAAGTTTCCAAGAGAAAGCAATCATTCCACAGAGGTTGTAGACGGCACAGGAATCTCACCTTATACATGTTCACAAAACTCCTTGTCGCTGGTGGCAGGTATGTGGGAGCACAAGCAGCTTGATGTTTTGATCTGCTCAGACTTTGTGAATGAGCTGGGGGATTTTGGTTGCTTATTTAGTGTAACACCTAGGCTTTCTTTGGTTATAAACAGATGGAGATCTCTATGTGGCAGCTCCTCTGTACAGTGATGGAACCCTGCTGCAGTTTCGCAGAAAAGCTGGACAACGAAACAGCGTATGGATGTATGATCAATGGGTCTCAGGTTGGTTGAATTACACAATTTTCACTAAAACTAGTAGAAGAAAACTTATTTTATGTAAATACACAAATACTTATTTTATGTATAAATAGTTTTTTTGTAATTGAGAACATCCCCAAATATCCCCAAAGAAAGGTTAGATCAGACTTAAAGGGATAATTCACCCAAAATTATCTTAATTAAAATTTGGTCATTATTAAGTTGTTACAAACCTGTATGAGTTTCTTTCTTCTGCTGAATATAAGAGAAGATATTTTGAAAAATGTTGGTAAACAAACAGTTGCTAGTCCCCATTGACTTCCATAGTATGGAAAAAATATAATCGAAGTCAGTGGCTACCAGAATACCAACATTGTTTGGATACCAACATTCTTCAAAATAATTCAAAATAACTTCTTTTGTGTTCATCAGAAGATAGAAATGAAGAATTCACTTCCAGAATAAAAAAAATCCTGATAATTTACTCACCTCCATGTCATTCCAAGATGTTCATTTCTTTCTTTTTTCAGTCGCAAAGAAATTAAGGCTTTTGAGGAAAACATTCCAGGATATTTGTCCATATAATGGACTTCAATGGGAGTCAACGGGTTGAAGGTCCAAATTGCTGTTTCAATGCAGCTTCAAAGGGCTCTACACGATCCCAGCCGAGGAATAAGGGTCTTATCTAGCGAAACGATCAGTCATTTTCTAAAAAAGAATAAAAATTTCTATGCTTTTTAACCACAAATGCTCGTCTTGCACTAGCTCGACTGCACGCATTACATAATCACGTTGGAAAGGTCACGTGCGACGTACTGTATGTGGAAGCACCAACCCAGCGTTTACAAAGCGAACGTGCAAAGAAAGTCAAACGCCCTTTACAAAAAAAGGTAAAACAACGATGTCAGTCGATTTTGAAGTTGGAAGAAAAAATTAGATTTTTCGCCCTACCCTATCTTTCTGAACCGGAGTGCACAGACGAAGAGCTAACCGCGCGTGACCTTTCCAACGTGATTACATAATGCATGAATTTGCATTTGAAATCCATTATATGGAGAAAAATCCTAGAATGTTTTCCTCAAAAACCTTAATTTCTTTGCGACTATCGAAAGAAAGACATGAACATCTTGGATGACATGGGGGTGAGTAAATTATCAGGAAATTTTTATTCTGGAAGTGAACTAATCCTTTAATACAGGTTCGGAATAACTTAATGATGACCAAATTTTGGGGTGAATTATCCCTTTAAGTAACTCGTAGATATAACTTTGCTAAACTGGCATCTTATAATGCTCTAATTAGTACATTTACTTTAGTATGGATTTTAGTGAATGTAAAGAATGTTTGTGCACAGTGTGGGCTGAGCAAGAGAAATGTCATCAGTTGCTGACCTTGCCTCTGCTGACTATTTTCCCAAGCTGCAGCTATCAAAATACAGCTTAGTCATGTGTTTCTCTCTTAAATCAGGTTTCTCATTTCAAAATGAAAGGTGAGGTTAACTGATATGAGTAAAAAATGTGGAATGAGTAAAGAAATAATTCATGACTCATTCATACCCCCCCCCCAGAACCCACTTTTATTTCCAGTTTTCTGGCCAAGGACAAGAATGACCCCTTGAATGAGAAGATATATGTCTTATTTCGTGAGAAAAATTCAGACACGAGTCCAGAAGCGGATCCTTGGATATCTAGAGTAGCCAGAGTGTGTAAGGTATGTTTCTCACTTACATATGAAAAATGTGGCGGTCCTTTGTGAGGCTTCCTACACGAACCCACCTAGTCTGAGAGAACCATTGTTGTGGAAAAATTACCTTTGACATCAATTTGATCATCCTACACATTTCAAGGAGGATGAATGGTTTTATCTTATAAAGTCATCTAATTGTCACAGATTAGTTACCATAAATTATTCAGGAGGTGGAAATTTGAGGACTTTGAAGAGCTCATATAGATGTTCAAATTCAACACTTCCAAGCCTTCCTGGCATCCAAGAAGTTATCGCACTTCTGTTAGCAGTTTTAGCAAGGACAACACCACTGTTATCATCAAAGTTAGGTGAAAGCATCTACAGCAGAACACAAGACTGCAGGACAGAGATCAGATTCTGGAAACAAAGCATGAGCCACAGAAGTTGTGTTCTTGATATGAAGTGCAGTGAAATGAAGAAACCTTCCAGGGCTTATGAATGAAAACTTCAGTCTGCTGACAGCAGAACATTGTCCACCTTTAAAAACATCAATCTCTCATAGGTCGATGAGGGCGGTCCCAAGCAGTTACTCCAGAACATCTGGACCTCCTTTCTGAAGGCACGACTTGTGTGCGGGATTCCTAGAGAGTCACTATACTTTAACCGCCTGCAGGACGTTTTCATCCAGCATGCTGACGACTGGAGGGATTCACAAGTGTATGCGCTCTTCTCCAGCAGCTGGTAAACACTGTTTATTATTATTATTATTATTATTATACTAACATTTCTGAACGCTACTCAATTTTCAAGCTACATCCACCAAACTCAGCCCAGATCTTCAGACTGTTCTTAGAGCCCGTTTTGTATCGTATCGGCGTTTCGTGCAGATGGATCCGGCGATTTGGGAGCCTGAAACCGCTATTTTTTGAAACCGGTTCCCAGAGTGGATAAATCTGAAAACGACACCCTTGCGTTTTCATGTGTACAGCCAATCTGTATTTTTTTAAACGATGATGTCATCACCCCACGTCTCAAACCTAGTCAGACACCGCTACGTCACGTAACAGCAACAACAACTAAATAATGGTGGACTACATGCTTGTGTTCGTGCTGCAGAAGCTACTGAGCCTATTAGCTTTACTAAAGCAAAATCTACTGCAAAATCGTCTTGTTGTTGTGTTGGGTTTGTATACAGCGCACAACGTTTATGCGCATGCTCCTAGTCTTCTCCATTTTTAGTGTATCTCTGTGGCAGAATTACAGCGCCACATACTGGTCTGGCGTGTATACTACATCGTTTTGAGTCCGTTTCAGTGGTTTCGTGTGTACGCAGATATTTATTGAGCTGACACCGTGTTTACGGAATTTTTTTAGAACGAGGAAAAAAAAGATTGGATAGGGAAAGCTCTGGCTTTGTGTGGATCTCTATCTATCTATCTATCTATCTATCTATCTATCTATCTATCTATCTATCTATAGCCAAGCCTAGCAACTAGCCTAAGACACGCTATTAATGTACTAATTAATGCTAACAACATGCTAATCATGCTAACAGTGTGCTAAAACATTCTAGCAATGTGTTAAATCATGGTAAAAACATGCTAGCAGTGCGCTAAATCATGCTAACTATGTGCTAAGTCATGCTAATAGCACGTTTAAACATGCTAGCAATGTGTTAGATAATGCTAGAAACATGCTAGCAACATGTTAAAACATGGTAGCAGTGTGTTAAATCATGCTAGCAACATGTTAAAAAATGATTGCAATGTGTTAAATCATGCAAGCAACATGTTAAATCATAGTAACAGAATGTGAAATAATGTTAAAACATGCTGCCAATGTGCTTGATCATGCTAGAAACATACAAGCAACATGTTATCAACATGTTAGTAATGCTATAAACATGGTAACAACATGGTAATCGTGCTAGAAACATGATTAGCAACATGCTAATCGTCCTAAAACATGCTAGCAACATGGTAATCATGTTAGAAACATATTAGCAACACACTTACCACATGCTAATCATGCTAGCAACATGTTAATCATGTTAAAACTTTTTTGATTGCTTCCATTGTCCTCATTTGTAAGTCGCTTTGGATAAAAGCGTCTGCTAAATGTCTAAATGTAAATGTAAAACAAGCTAAATCATGTTAACAACATGCTAAAACTTGTTAAAACATGCTAAAACATGATAATTATGCTAGAAACATGATAATCATACTAAAACATGTTAACAGCATGCTAATCATGTTAAATCATGCTAGTAACATGTTAAATCATGTTAGAAATGTGTAAAATCATGCTAGCAACATGCTAGCAACATTTATCTGATCTATCAATCCAAACTTTCAAACTTCAAGCTTTTACAAAGGCTTCAAACTTTCAGGCTAAGTGTTCACAAACTTTATTCATCAAGTTACTTGTTTTTGCAATTCATTTGGTGCCACTGATAGCTCAGAAATTAAATACATTCCCTCACCTTATTTGTATATGTGCGTCAACAACTTGTTTCTTTTATGTTGCCATAGGAACTCTACTGCTGTGTGCATTTATTCGTTGGCAGAGCTTGATTTTGTTTTTGAGCATTCCACCTTCAAAGGTTATTCTGAGGCCATCCCCACCCCAAGACCAGGAATGGTGAGCAACAACATTAACTCCCAGATTAATCTGAATAAACATAAAATATTTTGGTATTTTCCAAAGTTCTGTTTGTTTGGCCTCTTTTGGTTTTATACTACACTTCACTACAATACTTACTCATTGTCCACTATGGTTGAAGAATCTGTACAGACGTTTTCTCAGTTTCCTAGTATTCACAAACACCACAAAGACTTTTCCACAAGCATGACTGTATTCCTATTGTTTCCATTTTTTTTTGTTGTTTCCAGAAGTGCTGAGTAGCTCCACTGGTACTGTGGTACCATTTTTAAAATAACTATGTTCTGAGTCAAACTGATCTGGTCTGTTGTAAAGTTAAGAGAAAAACTTAATTCTGAAAATAATTAAAATTAATTAATTAATTCTTAATTAAAATAAATAAATTATAAAAAAAATTTAAATAATTATTTTATTAATATAAATAAAATTTGAATTATGATAATGGCTAAATAAGTAAATAATAATTAGAATTAATATATGTGTAAATATGTTAGCATTTACCAAATTTGACGTTGTCGCACTGGGATCATCATATTTTTGCATTAAAAGTTTTTATAAAAAAACAACATCTGATTAACATCTGATTAAAGTGAAGCCTTTTCAATTCAAAATTACATTCAATACACATTTTTTCAAGCTTGATTTTTCTATATTGTTTATGCCCAACAACTTCCTTAATCATTTTACTCTTGACCCAAAGGTGAATTGTTCAGGCCTATTATTATAGCCATTGTTGGTGAACCAAAGCTATTGTTTCCTCACAATAGCTATTTTAAATCTCCTCTTATATTTGAGGAAATGAGCAGTCATTTTTGCCATGGCCTTTGTAACAATGGGATGGTTTCAACCTCACTTGTGCTGTGTTGTAACTTGTGACCTCAATGCTGACTGAAATGATATTATAACAGATATAACTCCATATTTTCCAGTGTGTCAAACAAAGCAATTCCATTCCAATTTCTACCCTTCAAATCATTAAAGACCATCCAGATATGAAGGACTGGATTCATCCCATTCAAAAAGACACACCTTTCTTCACAAGTAATAAGAACTTCACCAAGATAGCTGTTGACCGAGTCCAAGCTTCAGATGAAAGCATACACAGTGTGCTGCTGCTTGCAAAAGGTATACTCGCATATGGTGTATTGGTTCAAGATGTCTACATATTGATGTGTGCTCTGTGACTTCCTTCATACCAGAGACAATAACACTACTTCTGAAAAAAGAAACCCTTCCCTTGTTACCAGTTTTTGTTCTGTTTTCTTTTCTCACTGAAGTCTGCTTATAACATATGATGTTGCTAAAAATAACTATTTTGTGTATTTGGTGTAATGAAATGTGTTTATGCGGTTTAAGGTAAAAAAAAACACATTATTTTCCACATACTGTACATTATTGTTTCTCCTCTATGCCCCGCCTTTCTGAAACGCGTCGATTTTTACAAAGCTCATCGGTCTGAAAAGCGAGGTGTACTGTGATTGGCCAGCTATCCAGTGTGTTATGATTGGCCGAATACCTCAAGCGTGTGACGGAAATGTTACGGCCCTTACCATACTGTGATGATGCCGTGTCAGGCCGGAGCAATGATTCAAAAACATGAAAACCCATTACAAACGAGGCATTTGTTGCATCCAGTGGGGACATAATTATGGATTATAATGACTTATACTGTCTTTTTACGCGTTGC